ATGAGTAAATTGAATCAGGACATTCAATCTGGGAAGCACTCTTCTAAACTTAAAAGTAGTCCTATTGGATATTTGTCTTCTAAAAAAAATAGATTTTATATCCCATTTATTTATTATATCCCAGGAGAGAATTATTACTGAAGCTGGGAAACTAATTTTAATGCTCTGCTTACATTTAATGATAAACCAATTTTTTTCAGTTATCCTTATTTTCTGTAAACAGTGTGGCAGTACATATAGCTCGTTAACTCCATATTATGTGAGCAAATGAAACAAAACAGAAATAATTGTCAATTACAAATATGCCAAGGTTCAGTTTCAGGAATAAATCAATGGTTTTTTGTTGGTTTACAATCCTAGTTATTTTGTGAGTAACAATCCAAGGTTCTTGGCTTCAGTTTCACACAAAATTCTGCTTTTTTTCTTATGCGAAGGGAAGAAGAAAGTAAGATGCAACAAATGAACACTCTAGCAAACTGCTGATTCTCTGTAAATAATTTGGCAAATATTTCCATATGCAGCTTCATTCTACTCAGTTGCATTCCTTATGTCAGCGGTTCTCAACCTATGGGTCGCGACCCCATTTGGGGTCGATCGACCATTTCACGGGGGTCGCCAAGCAAGGCTGTCCACCATTTTTTTCCCCTTTTCCGGCGGGTGCCTTACTTCCCTTGAGCTGGGCCAGCTGGTGGTCGGCCTGCTCCGTCTCTGCCGCTTGCCAGCTACGCCTCGGCCGGCGCAGGGGGCAGAACCACGCATGTGCAGCGCTCCCGGGCAGGGAAAGTCCTCGACTTACGACCGCTTGGGTAGTCCTCGACTTACGACCGGTTTAGTCCTCGACTTACGACCGGTTTAGTCCTCGACTTACGACTGGTTTAGTCCTCGACTTACGACCGGTTGGGGGTCGCGGCATTAAAAAGGTTGAGAACCACTGCCTTATGTTCTATTTCATTTCTAAATAGACTGAAGAATTTCCTGTTTTAGTGAGATGCATTTGAAAACTATTAAATTATCTCCCCCTCCCCATCAATCTTCAGATCATTTGTAATCAGCTCTTTGAAAATGTCTTCATGGTTGTGGTTTTTAGATTATTTGTTTTTACAATTAAACTTAATTTTATTGGGAACAGATTACTGCAGGTGAAGTTTTGTTAACATTAGTTGAAATTGTCTGCTGTGATTTACACAGCTTAAGAGCTATTGATCTTCTGAACATTACTAATAAAGTTTGATTTATGATCAGCTGTAGAAATTTCCTCATCAAAAGCTGTACCAATAGTTAGTAGATTGTATGTTAAAAATACTGGAAACATTCAAGCATACATTAACCTGTGTGGCTTAGG